ATATATTATATACCGTATTAATTACACTCATTTTGTTTAAGTTAGACTCTGAGCAGTTACTGTATAACTAGGTTAACTACAACACGTCCTGGACCGAAGCCACATCTTATTTTTTCAATTTTACAGCAATTATACTTCCAACCTAAGACTCAAAATACATTAGTACAGTAGATAGGGGTAGGTAGTATGCTATAGTTTGGAGTAGGTAAAATGCTATTATAAACTCTGAAAATATTAATGTATTTTGCTTTTTTGTAAGCATCGGCCGATGTCAAATTAGAAATGAGCAAGCTATTGTATTAATGAAAATAGAACAATTAAAAGTTTTTTTTCTTAAATAATATGGCTGACAATCGAGCATACAGTCCACCTGATGGCAAGTGGATGCTATGGCTCATAGGCATCTACATCTATTCCTGAATAAAATTATCAGTAAAAAGATCTCCGGTTCTTTACATTTACCATACGAAACACAGCAGCATTAAGCTGCTATTTTACGCTGGTATTGTGAGAGCGTGGTCCTACCTCGGTCGGGGCGACCTACAACCATAATATAGCTGCAGCGTGGCTCTACCACGTATATATGTTCAAAAACTCGCGGCTACCTACTGATTGTCTAAAAAATAAAATTTACCTTACTACAAGACAGGCACTTGTTGAGAAGTGCTGCTTTGTATAACTTACTAGTCATCTCAGATCAGTTTTAAGCTTTTAATAGAATAACAAAAAGATGAATATATGTATAATTACGTGGTAGAGCCACGCTGCAGCTATATTGTGGTTGCAGCACGAATGGGTCGGCTAGTCCGGGGCTAACAAAACTACTAGTTTTGAGTGATAATTATGTTAATAGCTTGTCTTGAATAGTGGAAGGACCACGCTCTCACAGAATACCAGTGTAAAATAGCAGCTTAATACTGCTGTGTTCTGTATGGTGAGTGTAGAGAACGTGGACCCTTTTTACTGAAAACAAGGCATTCCATCTCAGTCCTCAAGGGTGACAACGCATCAGCATTTTGATTGTTAATTGAGGATAAATGTAGATGTCTATGTGCCACAGCATCCACTTACTATCAAGTGGACTGTGTGCTCGTGTCACCCTTTTCAAAAAAAAGAGATGTTACCCTCATACTAAGATTTTCTCCTGTATAGTGGAGGCAGTTTATAAGTACGAGGGTGGATTGAAAAGTACTCGGCCTAACCAAGAAAATAAACAAATACTAAATCAGTTATATTTTTATTTTTCTACATAATCACCATCAAGTTCAATACACTTTTGCCACCTCCCCTTCCAAGCATTTAGACCGTTGAAAAAAAATGATTCTTCCTTAGAGTCAAAATATGCGTCTACAGCTGCTTTGACCTCGTCGTTTGTCGAAAATCTTTGACCTCCCAAGTGCTTTTTTAGGTTAGGGAACAGAAAGAAGTCTGATGGTGCCAGATCAGGTGAATACGGCGGATGCGGTAACAGTTCAGAGCCACAGTTGTGAATTTCAGCCATTGACTGTACTGACGTGTGAACACGGGCGTTATCTTGTTGAAACAGGACTTTTCTTCTGAGCATTCCTCGACGTTTTTCTTTTATTTCCTCTCGTAAACGACGTAGTAAGGTGCAGTAGTAATCAGAGTTTATATTCTGACCCCTTTCAAGATAATCAATCATAATCACACCTTTCGAGTCCCAGAATACTGAAGCCATCAACTTATTTGCCGACAAAATCGACTTAGCCTTTTTAGAGGGTGGTGAACCAGGTCTTCTCCACTGTTTTGATTGTTGTTTTGTTTCCGGTGTACAGTAATGAACCCATGTTTCGTCCATAGTAACAAAACGATTCAAAAAATCATCTGCATCGGCTTCAAATAACTCCAAACAGTCGCGTGAAATAGTCAATCGCGTCCTTTTTTGTTCAACTGAAAGCAGTCGCGGAACCCACCTCGCAGACACCTTGTGGAAACCCAACTCGTTGACAATGATGTTTTGAGTTCGTTCATAAGAGATGCCTATAATCTCGGCTATCTCTCTAATTTTTAATCTGCGGTCTCCCATTATTAAATCAAGTACTTTTTTAATATTTTCGTCAGTAGTTGACGTCGAAGGCCTTCCAGAGCGGGGTTCATCTTTCACACTCTTTCTACCACGCTTAAATTCTGCTATCCATTTTTTGACGGATGAATATGACAGAGCACAATCGCCTAATGTACTGACCATGTCATCATGGATGGCTTTTGATGATAGCCCCTTCTTATGGAGGTACTTAATGACGGCACGCTGCTCGATTTGCTCCATTCGCGGAAATTATGTCCGATTACTTTGTTAATAAATTTATAAAATCACAACTAATTATCGCACACGTTTCGAACTTCACACAATGAACTAGTCTGAACTGAACTAAATAATGTGGGTAGATTTGATTTTTAGAATTGAATGGATCTGTGTTAGGCCGAGTACTTTTCAATCCACCCTCGTACATACATAAATTTACCAGGACAAACATCCAGACCCGGAGCAATATTTGTAGGCCATAAAAATATTTGTTCCGCGCGGGATTCGAATACCGTATCACATTGCTAAGCCATTGCGCCACTAAGTCGTCAAAGTCGTCGAGTATTATAATGACGTCAGCAAATCAATTACGCAGGTTATTTTACCGAAGAATGTTTATACTTACACAGTACAGTCAGTTAGCAGCCACATTTTTTTTAAAGTAAAGAAAATATTTTTTATGATATATGATATTTCACAGAGATCTAGCAGCTCGGAACTGCCTAGTCGGCGAGAACCACCTGGTGAAGGTAGCAGACTTCGGTCTCGCCCGTTTGATGCGCGACGACACGTATACTGCCCACGCTGGTGCAAAATTCCCTATCAAGTGGACTGCGCCCGAAGGACTCGCTTATAACACCTTCAGCACCAAATCTGACGTATGGGCCTTCGGTATACTCCTTTGGGAGATCGCTACGTACGGCATGTCGCCATACCCAAGGGTCGACTTGGCCGACGTCTACCATATGCTCGAAAAGGTATGTACCAAAAACAATACTGTACTTCTCACAAACTGTTTAATAATTAAAATAAATCCAAGCTTTAGGAAGACAGTTCTTCGTAGTACAGTAATCGTAAATGCTAGGGTTGTTGTGAATCAATGAAATTAGAAACAAACAAAGATATTATAATATTTATAAAGTATTTTATAAACTAAAGCGCTGACATTTCACAACTTGTGGCAAGCAAGACAATATGGTATTTAAATTACTAGATATATAGGCCATACTTTATTCAGTCTCCTTTATGGATGTCATTTGGAAGGGAAATAAAGGTCAATTAATTTCATGCATTTTTGATAGAATAAAGTGGTACCATTCCCTATCATTAAGATCTCTAGATAGCAAGAAAACGTTTAGAAATTAACAACCTTGAAACGGTATCAAAATCAGTAATCAATATATATATATTTACTTACTGTAATATACACTTTAAACCGACAATGGTGGAGGCAGGATACTTCCATTTTTCATTTTTAATCAGTACCTCGGGAACTGAGACGGAATCTTTAATTTCATATTTGTAACAGGAAGAATGTATAACAAGTGTTATACAACATTTAAATTATGAATTTGATGTGCCAACGCATCATGTTATGCTTATACAAATATTACGATATTTTGCTTAAGAGACAATGAAAAATAAACTCTAGCAGTTATTAATTTATATATATATATATAGAACAGTCTCAAAGTAATTGTGGGGTTTCGTAATCAGATTTTTCCAATTAAAATTAGTTCTCTGGTCTGTCAATTTCTCGTAGGGATTCTGTATAACACATGATTTTGTAAGAAAAGCGGGACGTCGTGCTACACGCAAAATGATTATATTCATTATAATAATTTGGGACTGTTCTGAATTGCCCCTAAATTGGGCAATAAATATCGATGTATTATACACTTTTTTTATAACTCTGATGTACAAGGCGTAAATTGCTTTAATGAAGTTCTCGTTGTGATCCATTCAAAGACACACACAGAGGCCTCCACTTAGTCTTGAGTTAAGACTGCCCGAGAATGTTGTCCTGCTGTAAACTTCTTATATAATATATGTATATTTTAATTAATTTAATATATTAATCACTTTATTTACATTAAATTATACAATAGTAGCTTACTGTTATTAATTATATTCACACATACTTATTATTACTATCAAGTTCAATTATCTTAAAAATAATTAAGTGGTGGCGGTTCGCGTCCACACCATAATAAAATTGATGAATAATTCTCGGCATTGTAAGATATTCTCCATTATTTCCTTTTTAATAATATCTTTAATAAGAACAAAGTTTGTTGTTTTACAATTGTAAACAAGTAAGCTTTTAATATTGCCATGTAAGAGTTATTAACAAAGAAATTTTTCCATAACAAAATTTCATGAGAAAAATTTGCGCATTGTTGTTCAAACACGTTATGTAAGACGCGAACTACAACAACAGCCCGAAAATCAAACATTACGATAACGAAATGCCCTGTGCTTAATTCTCGTGCCTTAACAATCATTTACTTATATGCCATTTATATTCTGTTTTTACAATTAATTATCACAAAATAATTATATGCTTTGTCAGAGTGTTAAAAACCGTTCAAAATTTATGATCTTTTAAGTATTCTTTTAAAAATAAATGAAAAATCACAAAAAGGAATTTATGTAATTTTATGACATATTTAATTATGTTTTAATATTTTTCAATAATACCAACAAATATATCTCGAAAATGTTTAGACTTGGTCTGTAGTTACATTATCATACTGGTGGCTTAACAAATATTTATATTATGTATAATACTTTTTTTTATAAACACCTGAAGCAATTTTTGGTACTTGCATTTTTGCATGGTTGGGGACTTGTATTTACAATATATTTTGTTTCCAAAGAATACAAATGGCACAGCCATTCTTGATGTTTTACATAAATTTAAATTGGGCAATGGCTTCTTCATAAGCAGGACCATCTAGCAATGGGCTGCGTCGCTACATAGGTGCTTTTTACATAATGAGCATTGCGGTCGACTAACTGCTACCCGAGAAAATATTTCTGATGCAGATAACTCTTTGCTGAGTTTGCTGCACATTGAGTACGACACGGTCTTCTTAGTAAAGTCTTTGGCTGGTACACACGTGCGTGCGCGCACTGGTCCGATCTCTTGACCCGTCTCCACTGTCAGATAAATAATAGTTATTGATTGTAGATCTACAGGCAAGAATCTTAAGAGGAAATATATAAAAATATGTCTAGAAGTGAAAATTTAGGATATAATTAAAAACTGGTTTCAAAAAACAAAAAATAATATCAAAAGAGTACCTTCTGTTATATGGTTAATATTTTTCTTTATTTCGAAGTCTGTTCTAAATTTTCTTAAACAAGTTAAACGATTTTGAGTTGAAGTTGAAGGTAACAACTAATGCTGTCATTATAAACTTCATCCCCTATTGTTCCACCCTTAGGGTAATTTTTTCCCCCAATAATTTATATTGAAACACCTCGGTAGTAATAAATTCAATAAAATAATTTATATTTTAATTGTAATTTTAGATTTTAATTTAATTAAAGCATTATCGGTAAAAAAGAAACCATAAAAAAACATATTCTCCTTTTTAGAACTCAGAAACATGTTTACTATTTTTGTAGTTTGTTCGATTTATGACCCTGGGAATAGGCCATTACTGGCAAAGGGTGACAAGAGGGACTGGTGATCGCAGCAGTAGATTACTCTCCCGTCGCCAATAATATTATTTTATGTTTACGTGGTAGAGCCATGCTGCAGCTATTTACGTGGTAGAGCCATGCTGCAGCTATATTAGTAGTATAGTTATAGCACGAATGGGTTGGCTCGACCGGGGAAGGACCACGCTCTCACAGAATACCAGCGTAAAATAGCAGCTTGACACTGCTGTGTTTCGTATGGTGAGTGTAGAGAACCAGAGACCCTTTTTACTGGAAAAGAGACATTCCATCTAAGTCCTCACGGGTGACAACGCATCTGCATTTTGATTCGCAAACAAGGATAAATGTAGATGTCTATGGGCCACAGCAACCACTTACCGTCAGGTGGAGTGTGTGCTCGTTTGTCACCCTATGCTATAAAAAAAAATGTTATGGCATATCCGAAATAGTTATACTGTCATCTTTCAGAGGCTTTAGATCTACTTTGCAATCCCCACAAACGACTCTTCTAACAATCATTAGACATGGGAACTATAATAGGCTATCTAACCAACTTTAAAATTAGAATATAATATATAAATAAATACTTGTCTCACTTACCAAGTTTAGCTGATTCTGATGTTATAACTATGCATAAGAATGCCATTCCTGGAATGTAACAGTCTATGTTAGGCACCTGAAAAAACAATTATTGTGTTTTATGGTCGCCATTTTAATTCGAATTAGTGTAACATATTTAAACGTAAAGCGGGTACTTGCAGTTATATTCGCGTAATCCGGATGGTCGGGATCCCAACACCCAGGGTGGTCGAACGAGAGGCAGTTGTAGCATCGAATGCCTTTGGCAGGGGGTGAAACGTATTTCTTCGGTTTGGCCTTTTTGTGTTTTCCTAAAATTACATGATATAATAAGTCATAGTTTATAATTAGTTTTTGATCATAGGTTTTGATATTCTCTGTTCTCTATTTTAAATTCTCCACTTTCACTTATTTTACATTTTTACATTTACAATTTTTAACTATTTTTAACTATTTTTAAGTAAAATTAAATAAGAATTTGAAGCAGCGATTTCTTTATTTTTTATACTCAACATTGTTGTAATAAGAGAATTAACTTATTAAAAAAATTGACTAGCTCATAATAATTTTAATGTTAAAAAATATAATTTTAAAAAGTGCTCGCGTTTAAAGTTGTTATAAGATTTTAATTATTGCAAAACGGAAATGAGTGAATGTTTATTTTCGTGAAGTTTATTAATTTACTTCCTTGTTATTGTTTCTAAATACATTACCTATAACAGCGACCGAGAAGAGCAGAAGGTAAACGAAGGTGATCTTCGGCGTTAACATCGTAGGCCCCCGTGGAGTGCGTCGTTGCACTTTGTGCCAAGGTCGGGTTAGGCTTGAAACAGCAACAGTGCGAATAACCGGCACCCCGCAGTAAGACTGACGAAGTGGTCGACTGAGTCGAGTTTATAACTTTGGCGCAAACAATGATGCTTGTTTTGGTTTGGGCTCACGCGGATACATACAGGCTGCTCTGAATTTCCCTAATATACTTTTTAAATTATTTCAACTTGCCTGTGCAATGTGATTTTGTTCACAAAAAAAAAGTAATTTCTTATAATATACCTCTATAGTTTTAAAATAACTTATTATGCACACTAATCAAAGAAATTGCATTATTATAAAACCCACTTTACAAATGTTTTAGTTAGATTTAATACCAATACAGGATGTAATAGAATAATGTTGAACTAGTCGTATCCTGTTTATTTTACTTTATTCACCGTTGAGGTGCAGTTGTTTAAGTTATATTAAACTAAAGTGTTTTCTATACAGTTATATAGAAAACACGGCACTCATATAAGCGAAATTACTTACGTGTATCGTCAAAGTTCGTTTGTTCGTCGTGCCCTAATAGTTCGAATGTTATGGAATTTACCACATGTATAATATTTTTAATTAACACATTCAATTGTACATTTCTAAAAGATTTTATTGCTTACTTGTATAATTGCATAATTACAGGTAAAATAGGTATGTAATTGAAAAAGCGAGAACGTTATTGGTCTTGGTGAAAATGTGGTGTCCTCGTTATATAATATTTTAATAATTTTGGATCTGCTACCCTTATCTCACGGCGAGATAAAGCTGCGATATGCGCAAGGAGTCTAGCAGCAGCTAGATGTGTGAAGCCGTATATTGGTCTAAGTAGCGCGCATTTGGAGGAGTTTATGGACAAAGGTTTCTTTTTTATAGGATAAGGGTGACAAACGAGCACACAGTCTACCTGATGGCAAGTCTTTGCTTCGGCCCATAGACATCTACATCTATCCTCTATTACGAATCAAAATGCAGATGCATTGTCACTCGTGAGGACTAAGATGGAATGCCTTGGAAACGAGGTGGACTGTGTGCTCGTTAGTCACCCTTATCCTATAAAAAAATCTTATGTTACCACAGAACAGGGTTTGTCTTTGACACTTGCATTTTGACTAAATATTATTTGAAATTAAAAATTTTGTACAACCTCCTTCAATATAAATTATTAAGGATAACTCTAAAGCTACTGCTCCACCAGCTTTAAAAAAAAGAATTATCGAAATCGGTTCACCCAGAAAAAAGTTATGAGGTGATACACATAAAAAAAGAACTTACAGTAGAATTTAGTAAGGGAGAGCGGGGCTAACAGTTCCGTTTATGATTTAACATAATATTTACATAATAAAAAATAGCTGTAGCATTAGTTTCTTAGTAAAGTCTTGTAGTTTAGTTAAAAAGCGTCTTCGGTTCTCTACACTCACCATACGAAACACAGCAGCATTAAGTTGGTGTTCTGTGAGAGCGTGGTCCTTCCCCGGTCGAGCCGACGCATTCGTGCTACAACTATACCACTAATATAGCCTTCAGCATGGTTCTACCGCGTAAACTGCCACGAGCTAATGAATTGAGTTGATGACGTTATTATAGCAAATTTTATTTTAGGCGGTATTTAATCCTCATTTGCTTAACACACAAAATAAAGAACATGATGTGTAAGTATATGTTCAAAACTAGTAGTAATGTTTATATGTATATTTTTGATGACTGTATATACGCCACACTGCACGCGGCGTCTACCAACGTATACTAATCTGTTAGTTATTTGTAAACAAAACAATGTTATTTATTTTTAATCGGTTTACAAAGTATGCGGCTATGCGCTATATAGTGGACTTTGTATTTCCTAGTTTGAATTTTAGCAAGTTTCTAAGAATTTTAACCCCCAAAAGATTACCGCTTTTTAATGTTTGCGTTTACTGCCAAAGATCTCAGCCTCTGACGTATCTCCTCAATTTCAGAACACTTTTTTCCTGCCTTAAGCCAGCATCGGAATCCTTGATGTCGACATTTTGAGTGACATACAGTTCCGCAATCACTTGGAAGGGAAGAAAGACTAAACTGGCATCTAAGGAGTTTGATATATTCAGTAGATCGAGCCGATATTTCACGCCGGCCTACGCTTGCAGGTTCGGCGTCACATAACACTGTTGTCATTTTTGAACCGGTGCATCCAAGTGTCTTTCCTTCTATCCTTCTACTTGGGCTCATTCAACGAAAATAGATCCGAATCGTCGATGACCAAGTTCTTTCCGATCGGCTTGATCCTCTGGCGTTGCCAAGAGACGTTACATTTCTATGTATCTTTTATAGCATATACAGAGGAGGGGAGTGCTTTGAGGATATGTTCGAATCAATTCCAATTGCTTCCTGAATTTCACCACGCATTTCGTACATTGTGACAGAACTCTAAATTCCATCCTCATCATCTCGATGGTTGGTAGTGCCCATTTGCGTATAATTATCTGCCATGCCCGACCACACTGTGGAATTTACTGTCGCTAACAGTTTTTCTGGACCAATACGACTTAGGGACCTATTTCCTTTCTAAACGAAGGTAAAGAGATTGGTAACGCATCTGCAATTCCCCTGTTGTTGCAGATGTTCATGGTTCATTACTTCCCATCAGATGAGCCATATGCTCGATTGCCTCTTCTTCCATAATATATATTATAACTAGTATCCGCCCTGGCTTCCACCGGTGATTTCTGTATCTAGACAACAGCGCCACCTATCGTGTCCAATTGTGAATCTATACAATTTTATCTAAAAATTTCATCAAAATAGTGCAGCCGTTTAGGAGGAGTTCAGTGATTAAATTAAAAGTACGGTTAAATTTGTTTTTTTTTAAACGTTACCACCCTACCAGGTTTTTTTTCTGTATCGTGGAAGCAGTTTACAAACATAAATTGCACGAGGACAAAAATCCAGACCTGGAACAATTACTTGTAGGCCATACAAATACTTGGGATTCGAACCCGCGGCCTCCAGCGCAACAAGTCCTTGCTAAGTCACTGCGCCACGGAGCCGTCAACATACATACGTACGGACAGAGGAATTGATATAAATATAGATAATCATAGGTCTTTACGTATGAAATTGCCGTCAGCAGTAGGTACTGGTCATTTCAAATCAAAACAATGTTTGTTTGGCTAAGAATTATAATTTCAAATTAATTTTATTTTAAAAACATGGTATTCTTTTTTCAAAATTAATCATTTGTTTTGTTGTTGATTGATTAGCGTTATGTTTTCATCGCATTTGAATCTTTTTCGTCATCAGGGATACGTTAAAAATTCGAGTACTTAGGAATATCAGTACCGTCGTTGCAGCAACGCGGCACAAGCGGCAACACCAACGACGTTTACGGAGCAAATACTACAAACGAACGCACCACCTGTTATTGGTGTGCCCGCTTCCGTTCCGGCAATTTCGACTTGAAAAATGAACCCCGTGGTCGTCCGAAAACTGGTTGACAATGACAAATTAAAGCCGATTGTGGAAGCTGATGATACTCACGCTGCGGCTGAATTAGCAGCAGTTTACGACGTTAGCATCAAAACAATATTGGTCCATTTGCGTCAAATCTGGACAAATTGGTGCCCTACGAACTAAATGATCGCTAGCATGAAGTACGCGTCAAGACATACCTTGAACTGCTCAACAGGCACACAAACGAAGGAACTTTGAACCGCATTATTACCTGCGACGAAAAATTATTCTGTTTGATAATTGCAAGCGCTCAGCAAGTTGGTTGAATTCTGGTGCAGCAATTAAACAATGCTTTAAACGAAAATTTACCCCTACAAAAGTGATGGTCACTGTTCGGTAGTCTAGCGTTGGTGTGATCCATCGCAGTTTCTTACCAAACGAGATAAGCATTACTGCAGATGTATACTGTGAAGAACTGAACACAATGATGGAGAAACTCGCACTTCTCCAACCAACTTTGGTCAATCGCTCGTCCCCGCTGCTCTTGCACGACCTCATACTGCACGGTAGATGGTCTCCAAGTTACAAGAGCTGGGGTTGGAAGCTCTTTGTCTCCGCCGTACTCACCCAACCTTGCGCCTACAGACTTCTGCTTTTTCCATAATTTGGATAACTTTTTGGCGGGAAAAAAAAATACAATACCCGAGAGGCAATACAAAATGCCTTTGAAGAATTTATGGCTTCCCGTCCAGCTGATTTCTTCAAGAAATAAATTGCCACTGCGTTGGCAAATATGCATCGATTGCATGCGTGATTACTTTGTTTATGAATATAAATAAATTTCATAAAAACGGCAATTTCATAGGCAAACACCTATAGTTTATATTATTATAGGTATATGTTCACTGGTTAAATGGAAAATATCTCGTGTTATGAAATATTTTAGTACGGTATTCAAATTCATTTAGAGAACTATTGCGATAACCTTAACGCCTTAAATATTGGAATTTTATTCGTTTCTGTTTTTGCCGTTTGTTTCTATTTTTATTTTTACTTGGTACGTAATGTTTTTGTGTTGTACATATTATTACAATTTGCATTTTAGGGCTACCGCATGGAGTGCCCGCCTGGTTGCCCGGCTGCAGTATACGAGCTGATGCGCGGCTGCTGGCAATGGAACCCGGCCGACAGGCCCACCTTCCGCGAGATCCACCACGCCCTCGAACACATGTTCCAAGATAATTCTATTACAGAGGGTTAGTTTTTACGAATTTATATTACACAAATTCCTAAATAATTTCTAGTTATAAATATTTATATATGTATTGAGTTCGGATTTGAAAATATGAATTTGATTTGTTAGAAGGAATCGAACGTCTTCATCTAGGGTCACGCCCACCTCGTTGTCCCGGATCCAGCGTGGTGTGGTATTGGTCTGTGAATAGAAGGTCAATAATTAGTTGATCTCTGATCTAGGACGCAAGACCCGTAAGCAAGGGCCGTTCTAGTTGGTTTTCATTGAAATTGTCGAACGG